AGTATATTGTCATGTGGTGTTCATGTTCTGGATGATACTGTCATTTCATTGTCATCTGGTACCTATACATCTCTCTCCAAAATTAACGGTGACAGTACATTATCATGTGGTGTTCATGTTCTGGATGATACTGTCATTTCATTGTCATTGGGTACCTATACATCTCTCTCCAAAATTAATGGTGACAGTATATTGTCATGTGGTGTTCATGTGTTGGATGATACTGTCATTTCATTGTCATTGGGTACCTATACATCTCTCTCCAAAATTAATGGTGGCAGTATATTGCCATGTGCTGTTCACGTTCTGGATGATACTGTCATTTCATTGTCATTGGGTACCTATACATCCCTCTCCAAAATTAATGGTGACAGTATATTGTCATGTGGTGTTCATGTTCTGGATGATACTGTCATTTCATTGTCATTGGGTACCTATACATCCCTCTCCAAAATTAATGGTGACAGTATATTATCATGTGGTGTTCATGTTCTGGATGATACTGTCATTTCATTGTCATTGGGTACCTATACATCTCTCTCCAAAATTAATGGTGACAGTATATTGTCATGTGGTGTTCATGTTCTGGATGATACTGTCATTTCATTGTCATTGGGTACCTATACATATCTCTCCAAAATTAATGGTGGCAGTATATTGCCATGTGCTGTTCACGTTCTGGATGATACTGTCATTTCATTGTCATTGGGTACCAATACATCTCTCTCCAAAAATAATGGTGACAGTATATTGTCATGTGCTGTTCATGTTCTGGATGATACTGTCATTTCATTGTCATTGGGTACCTATACATATCTCTCCAAAATTAATGGTGACAGTATATTGTCATGTGGTGTTCATGTTCAATGTGGTGTCATGTGGTGTCAATATCATGTCATATTGTGAGCATATTCGTTATGATACTGTCATAACATAGTCATTGGGTAACCGCCGAACTCTCACTGACTGGTGACAATATATTACAGAATTGTCATTAGGTGACAAGTCAGCTCTCATCAAATGGTGGCAATATATTGCCATATGGTGATAATATCTTATATGATACTGTCATAGAATTGTCATCAGGTGACAATTCAGCTCTCACCAAAAGATGACACTGCATTGTCATGCGGTGATTTACTTTATGAAACTGTCATAGAATTATCCTTGGGTAACCACACAGCTCTCACTAATTAGTGACAGTTTATTGTCATGTGGCGGTAATATCCTTTATGAAACCGTCATAGAATTGTCATGATGTGATGATATACTTTATGATACTGTCATAGAATTGTCATTGGGTAACCACACAGCTCTCACTAATTGGTGACAGTATATTGTCATGTGGTGGTAATATCCTTTATGAAACCGTCATAGAATTGTCATGAGGTGAAAACACAACTCTCACCAAAAGGGAACTATACACCTATAGTATCTTTTATGATACTGTTATGGAATTGTGATTTAGTGACAACACAGGTCTCACTAAAAGGTGACAATGTATTGTGACATTGTAATGACCACTTGGTGATCAGGCAGCACTCATTGAACTGTGATATTCGTCTGTCAATGATGACATACTTGTTATGATCATGTCATATAAATGGCATGATATGATCTCACAGTTCTCACTGAATGTGACAATGACATATGATCATCACATTCTCCTTGTAATATTTCAAAGGGTTGTCACAATTTGATCTCACAGTTCTTACTGTATGGTGACAGTCACATCTTGTTATCACATACTCATTCTAATATTTCAAAGGGTTGTCACAATGTGATCTCACAGTTCTTACTGTATGGTGACATTGACATATTGTGATCACATACTCATTCTAATATTTCAAGGGGTTGTCACTATGCGATCTCACAGTTCTTACTGTATGGTGACATTCACATCTTGTGATCACATACTCATTCTAAGCTTTCAAAGGTTTGTCACAATTTGATCACACAGTTCTCACTTTATGATGACATTGACATAATGTGATAATATTCCTATTATTATATTTTAAAGGGTTGTCACAATGTTCACATAGTTCTCACCGAATGATCAACGAGCTATCAATAGGTAATCGTATGTTGTCATATGGTGATACCCACGTTCTCATACGATCGCCATACGGTTATCAAGTTGGAATAACATATCATTTAGTGACCAAATAGTTTTGAATCGGTGGTACTACATACAGGCTTCACGGGCTTTGTTACAATATAAATTTATGATTAAACTGAAACAAAGTTTTCTTTCAGTTGCCACAGGATTGATCTGAATATACAGGTCAAATATTCATTAGTTATCAAGTAATCCTTGAGTGAAGTGAAGCTTATTATCAATACAAACAGTATCTATAGTTTAATAAAATAAAAAAGAGATAAAATTATAATAAGGTGGTCCCATGAGTTGCCTTTCACCCATAGCTCTGTCTCAGAATATATTTTTTAGTCATGTCAGGATTGTCACATATTATTCCATCAACGTTTATATTGCTTTAGCACTGTTATGTACGAGACAATTTATTAGCGAGCGTCTGTTTAATCGATAAGAGCCCAAAATATAAGATCGATGAACAAACAACTTACCTGTCGTTGGCGATTGTACCATACTATTGTTTTCATTCCAACACTAAAACTCGGAACACACTATTCATAATTATACTATTTGTGTCCTGTATTCACCTTGTGTGTGTGCTGCAGTTGTGTGGCAATGATGTCTTCTTGACATGCCTTGCTTTCTCTGATTACCTTAAGATACACCACGTCTAGCTGCCTTGGAATCTATACATTATTGATTGTGTCTGTAGTAGGTACATGTCTATCTGACCTCATTTCCTTGGCCCTGTAGGGGCCACCCTGTCCCCAAACACCTTTGCCGCCCCATATAATCACTGGTGCGCTACCGCGATTATCTCGAACATTAACGTCCGTATAACACAGGGAATTATACACTTTTATGAGTTGTACAGACCACGGAATTAGAAAGTGGTGCTATTTATAGCGTGTGCACATGTAGTCTTGCAGAGCGTTGTAAGGGGAGTGGATATATGTGTGGCATGGATTCATAGTGTCCATTTCTGACCAGCCATAAGATATTTGATTGACGGGTCACGTGATTGCTGATGGTCAGGTGGGTGGAGTCAAGGAGTGGACAATGCTTGATGGGCTGGCTGTGACGGGGACCTCCCCGGGCAGGAATCTGTACACGGTACACAATATTGATACAGGGTTGTGTTTGGGCTCCGATCAATATGCAGCAAACACGCGTGACATGAACCAGACCCTTCTTCAATAGTTTACTTATACAAATGATGGTTGTTTTTAAATATAGCGGTGATGGCTCACGGGCGGTATGTGAATATCCACCCTGTGAATCAACCTTGAACTGCCCGTTCAGTTCTGTATATGATAGCAATGGCATCACGTTAACCACTGCACTTTAAAGAATCGCAGAGGCTGCTGAATTATGTCACTGACAACTCTTTTCTCTACTGAGCACGCCATTGTGTTTTATATACGTAACCTGTGGACTTGCTATTTATACTAGCATACAGGATGCCGGACCCACCTAGTCCCTCCCACAACGTCCAGCCCAGCTTCTCGCCCCCTCCCCCTGATCGTACGCGGGCTATAAATACTCTACACACATTCGTTTCTGGGGCACATCTCACGGAAAGGTTGTTGGGGTGTGTTTTAGGAGTGAAAGACTTGAAAATTTAGCCTCTATTTCCTTGAAATATTCACAACACGTGGTCAACCCGGTGAAATGGATTCCAAACTGTGACAGGGAAAGCTGCATTCTGATTGGTGGTTAGCTGGCGGATAAATTGTGAACTATTTGTAATTAGTACAATGAGCGAATAATTGGGGGTCACGTGTTGAAAGGCTAACTGAGTAACCGATGGCCCTCCGACGAAATGAGGATTATTCTAAGAGATAGGATTCGCTTAGGAGAGTAGCAGGCGGACGGTCGGTCGACCGGTCAGGCTAGCTACGAGTTGGAATCAGACTGACAGCTGAGAGGGACTACCATGGCCTCAGGTACGGTAACAGTATTTTACATATCTCATTCAGCTTTCACGTGACCCTCGTGGTCAAGATTTAGCCCCTGCTAAGCCACTGGGAACGTGTCATGCCTCTGCTACCCTTTCTCTGTACCCTCACTTACCACCCACACAAAATGGGGTCAGCCCTACCCCTCGCGCTTTCAGAATGGGCGCATTTTTTTGCTAACACGTTCTTTGTTGAGTGTGTGATCCCTATTCTACAATGGTCAATGGACCTTGCTTCAATCACAGATATGCATTAGTGTCCGTGGTCACTCGTGGCCTTGGACACGGGAGTGGATAAAGAAGAGAGAAGTTGACACACTTTCGGTTGAAGCTGATAGTCTCGCGGCATGACAAGTCGGCCTGCGAGCCCTCGCCTGTGCGCTCGCCCTCCCATAACCCGCTCTATTTACAAGTGTTTTGTAGAAAATTTGAAGAATGCGATTACGACACAAAAAAGCAAATAGTAGCACTGTAGTGACATGTCTTTTTTCTGTCGATGCTTGCAGTATTTGCAGGATCGGTACACTGATACTGCATAGTCTTAATTATGTTTGTTATTTTGTCACTCGCGTGTACCATTGACAAGACTTTTCTGTTCGCATCTGATAACGTTAGTCTGACCTCTTTTCTTCTCGAGGCCGGATACGGGCATTAGGGGTAAGGGATGGAGAAAGAGCACCAACTGATCCTCAAGGCTGGGTTAAGACCCAGAAATGGGGTAGGAAGACGACAGACAGCCCCCCTACACTACCCTATCGCCGGCTCTGCTCTCTCGGCGATCAGCTGATTGAGCTTGCTTCGCTCTACCTACCGGAGTGAAACCACCCATGTGATCGGGAAATGGGGTCACGGGGGACCACCAGTACTACAACAATCACAGTATTGGGGTCAACATTGATCTATTGATTGAAACGGATTATCGGTGATTGATTGATTTTTGTTTGCTATAAATAAAACTGTTAGATTATTTCACCAATCAGAATGTTTTTGCCCTCGACTCGCAATGCATGCGATTTTCATAATAAGGCTGGGCTGTGAGAGGGTTTGCGAGGCGGTCACATGAACATTGTTAGTTGTGCCAGGTGATCGTAGGTGAAATGATGAGTTAAGGTTAGCATTGATAGGTCCGCGTCCCCGCTCCCTCCCTCCTACCTCCGTCTGTCATCGACTTACGCGGATCTCATGGCGCTTCGTTCGAAAAAGCTAGCATTCCATATCCTATGGCCTCGGTCAAGCAGCGAGTGACGGTGATCCTGCGCTCAGTCGGAGTCGAGGAGGTGGACAGTGGTCATCACAACGTGGACACAGCCAGCTTCTATGTGGCAGCAACCGACTCAAGGGAGAGATCTGAGAATCGGGGGGAAATCAGCTGATGGCGTCGTGCTCACCTCACCAAGGTAGTCAATCCTCCATGTTTCTAATGGCGTTCGCCGGCTAACCCCGGACACACTAGAGGGAAGGGATAAAAGCAAGGGATAAGCATGTCATGGGAGGGTTGTTGGGACACTCACAGAGTTGTGGTCATGCCTGAGTGACCGATGGTCAGACCTAGGGGACTGGGAGTTTGCGAGGGCGCTGCGTAGTTTAGGGAAGCACGCTTCCGCTCAATGTAAGTGCGCACTGGCCGTCATGTCCATATTGCAGTGAGCGAGAGATGCGAGTAGTCGGCGGCCAGAGGTGAGGGAAGGAGTGCCCGTCCATTTCATCTCTGTGGCCCGGACATGGCCAGCTGGCTGACCAGTGGAGATCCTGGACACCAGCAAGGTGAGCTCAGTCGACCAGTGAGGTACAACCAGGCTTACACAGGCCGGTAGCCGCGCATGGATATTGCGCGCTGGCTTGGTGGGGTCAATGACTCCTCGGACAAGTGCGTGTGTATGGTAATGGTCGGTGGAAAACCCCTGGTAGGATCTGTTGCATAACATCCAGACACCGGGTGTCTGTCTCTGTACCTCTTTATAACCATATTACATTGTAAATGAGTGTGCATTTCCAGCCAAACGCTCATGTATAATGCGAATCTTACCAAATATTGATTTTTTCCCATTTTATACTCTCGTGGAATGCACTACCATTGTGGATTTTTTGTGAAAACAAAAGTGTGTGTCAGTATTTTTCTGCATCCGAATTCCTTCCCATGCCCCAAGACCTTCCTGCTCGTTGTGGTAGATGTTGGCAATGTCGTGTTTACATCGTGTTGTCAAGGCCATCTCCCAGTGTCTGTCGTCAAACTTTGCCCAATATTCCAATTCTAGCCTTACAACTTGGTGCTTGTATCCATCGTACAAGGCTATGGTAGAACCTCAGGCACAGCTTGGTTGGGCAGGAGAAAATAGGTCGCTTACTCCAGGGTATAGTTTCCCTGCGTCTACTAGCTGGTTTTATCATGTACCTCTTGTTCATCGTTTTTTATGCCTCCCTTTCCCGGTGTTACTCCAACAACCTTGCTCTAAACATGGCCCCACACTGAGGATACTGTCAGCATTAATGCTGACTTTGCACAAATAGATAACTATTACGTCAAATAATTCAAAACTAATTTCATTGTGCCGAATTTTGACATTTGAGCATTTATCTTAAACAAGAATAATGTTAGTAAGAGACGAAAGTAGACATTTTAAGTTTAAAAATATGTTTACTTTTCAGATGTACATACTTTAATAGCAAATTTATGTTCAGCACTAAGCTTTAAAAGGAGCGGGTATATGATTTATATAATCGCTGATTAGAACTGTGTTGACTTTTATGGAGGAAAATAGGAAAATATGCAACATCAAATATGTATGTACATGAGAGCACATCAATATCATTTGTATTTCACCTCTATGTGAAATTTTCACAACAGACAATATTATTACCCGATTTTTCTGGGAATATATAATGTTGCAATACTCATGGAGACATCTGCACGAGTTCCCTGTATCTATCTATTAAATAATTGTAACTTCAGACACACCTGTGCACTGTTACAGTGATGTTTAAGATTTGTTTTATGATTATTAGATTACCGTTCGAAATATATCACCTTTTGAAACGCAGGTAATGTTTGTTTCAGTAAAACTAATTTATTTAGATAATTCTGTACATAGTAAACATTTGTGAATGCTTAAAGAGGAGTAGTAATGATTTATTGACACTGTCTTATATTAAGAGGATATATTGTTAGTCAAGGTACATGTCAAAAGTTGAAATGACTTGCAACATTCCTTTTTGTAAACGCCACAAACATTTAACACATCAACCAAAATAGTCTAATACTGTTGTGCATGCATATGTCTTGTTAAAATGTCTATTAATGTCAAATTAAAAGACACGCAATCGTGTGTAAATTGCATAGTATTTGGATGTCACATATGATGCTGCCAGATATATTATGCAACTCTTCTTGCATACAGTATGATCATTCATATGTTTTACAGGTCATTTAATATCACATGCACTGCACACCTTGTTATGTTATTTGTTTCTATAACCACAAACCACATTAATATGTTTTTCAATGGTTTTTACATGAATGGTATCCACATGTATACTTTATACCAGTATAAGCTGTATAATTCATCCATATCAATCATGTAACATCTACAGCCATTTGGACACATATGTGGACATTTTAGATAAACACCATTATGATTATTTAACAGATGTAACCTCATGTTATCAAGTATTAGGTAAAGATCAAGTACAACATTTATTCCCACCCAGAAGACAAGTTTGTAAAGAGTTCTCAAAGCAAACATCGAAATGTAAATGTTTCTGTAAATATATTTGTGTTTAAAGATGTGCACTACTTTTTCAGGCGGAGGAGGCCGGAGAAGAGGCATGTGTAAATGGTTCAACGTGGCCAAAGGATGGGGCTTCGTGACCCCAGATGATGGAGGGCAGGATGTATTCGTACACCAGGTAGGAATACACATTTTTACTTATGCTGATTTCTCACCATATCAAGTGCAAACAGAAGCCAAAATTTGAGTTATGTGACCTTAGCCTTTTCACTCAGTCACCTCTCCTTATGTTCAATACCTGTAATCAAACAATAGTCAGCTTCAGCAGGATATTGCATGAAATGTATATTATATCACAAGCAAATAATTAATCGTTGCTAAGCTGTGATGTTTATATGTGGCGTATTCTGGGCTATCAACAATTATTCAAATGTTCACATCGTAGCATAAGTATACCGAATATCAATGTCATAACATAAGATTTAAGATAATGTTTATCGTTCCCTACATTATTTCTATATATGTATATGCATGCACATGCACATGCATAGTGTCAACCTCCTGACAGTATATCTTGCTATATGCTTGTAACTACATGTCAAATCCAGTTTACCCTTCACTATCACTTCACATATCAAATAACAAGCCAGATTCATGTTCAAAAGTAGTTACTATAAACATTACTTACATCTCATGTCTGTATTAAAACAAATAAATCACGACATATTTCAACATTAACGTCACCATAAAGAATACCAATAGATCTACAAAGAGAATGTTAAAAATAAATATGTGCAGCAGAAAAGATGCATCCTTGATTAATATTTCAGGAAAAAGCTAAGTGTTAATCATAAGTATATTTTCATACTGTTTGTAAAGCTCTTCTGAAGCATAATTCTATGTAAACGAAACCGTTTCGTAAAACCAAATCCATCCTCTGCAGGAGTGTTTGACATAGCATACAAGCTTGTTATTTATGTATGCACCAGTGAAGGCATATCCTATTTATGTTGCTATTACTATCCTCGATGGGCTTTGTGCATGTAAACGTAGCTCCTACGTATATACATCTTGTTGGGATACTGGGAAGCGAGCTTCATGCAGGTATTCTTTTAAGTCTCGTAATATGACTTATCCATTTTGGAAGGTTAACTCTGCACCTTACCATCATGATTCATTACCATATATCAATATGCAACTCACTGCAGTGATATATTTGCCATTACATTCCTATAAGTCCCAAATAATGATATAAGTATGCATTCACTTGTACTTTATATTTACGTTTCTGCTTTAAACACACACACACACACACACACACACACACACACACACACACACACACACACACACACACACACACACACACACACACACACACACACACACACACACACAGACACAGACACACAGACACACAGACACACACTTTTCTGAAAGATATATAACAATAAATGAAAGTCAGTAAAATGTATTCTAATATATTGCACAAATGATACTTCACACTATTACTGATATACTAAATATATCAATATATAAAACGTCCACGCCAGAGAATAACCAGTCTCGATAATTTGAATAACCAGTCTATTATTATTTGTCGAAACAGATTTCATTAGGAGTAAAGGGCGAAAATAGCGATGGAATTTTTATGAATGGATAATTGAAAATCAGTAATGAAAGGTGTAAACGTGTCCTGTCCTACTGATAGGATTCGTTCTCATGATTGTACGTGTATTAAATAAATTCATAATATGTAATCTTCCCTTTGTTATTAATTTGAAAAACGCTGTATATTTGCTTACCAGGTATTATATAAATACATATAGGGTATACTATCATAAACAAGAAATATATGGTAATTATGCTTCTTATTAACATCAAGTTTAAATTGTTTTACCTCAGGATTATAAATTTATATGGGGACAACTATGATCTATGAATATATCGTTTGAAAGGTGATATAGATAGCCGTACATACTGGTTATAGACGTAATAGCAAAACCTTCTCCACATATGACATATTAAACGAATTGTATAATAATCATCTATGACTCTCATTGTTACAAGTATTGTAAATATATATGCCTTTAAAAGGATAAGAAATTGTATATCAAAATCTCCATGACCGTGTTTTCCATGAAAATGGTATTTAATAAGCTGCCACTAATACTAATCAATATCCATATAACGAATTCTATTTGGGCAGAAATCAATTCCAGCTTGATGATTCTCCATTAAGTGCATCATATGTATGTATAAGATATATAGTCCTGACGTTGCGATGTAGAAACTGGTAACAAAGACTAGGAAGCGGAGACTTGGGGAACACCACGAAATAGGGGAGTTAGTGGATGGATAAAAGAGAGGCCTATCGAATATCTACTTGAATGTGACAAGGAAGAACATATATTATTGCCAAAGAGCATACAAAGCAAGGTCTTATTTCCTGTCACTAACTCTCGGATATGGAGGCGTAAATCTTCTATAATCCTGAAGAAAGTGGCATATTCGACTTCTTATATGCCATTTCTAAGTATTAACTGGACTAGGTATACTATTGATGACCATGTGTATGCAATGGTCTATGCGGTCATTTAAGTAATACTCATGATTTATCATTACTTAAGTTAGATATTTATCAGAATGTTGAATATAACAAAACATGTTTGTATTATCCAACAAGTTGGTAAGATGCACGTTGCCCTAGTGCTTACAATGCCAATAACAACAGAGAACCGTAAGGGCTGTTTATGTCTTCAAACAGACCATAAAGTAAACATTTCAGTGTCAGGAAATATTCAAAGGGTTGTATTATGTACTAGAAATAATATTTGCGATAACTAAGTTGAATATACTAATTCAATAACATCTAATATTAATTATTTATCCCCTTTGACCACCTGACGCCTAATCTCATTAACGCATCCTTAATTTACAAAGTTATGCTTTCCTTATTGGTACGATGCTTTGTTTAGTTACATTGTAGTTTCAATTTCTAATATTATCGACATTATCAAAAATGCAAGTGCTCGAAGTAATGTAAGTAACAGGTTTACTATAAACCTTTCCAATACATTACACAGTATGTGCATGTCTTTCTTTCCGCTGAGACCAACGTCATAGAAACACAGTTGCACCTCTAGGTAGTTGTTAATCCTGTTTAAGATCGAATTTGGCGCACACTAATGACAGCTTTATGAGTTTCATGTTTGATGTCACACGGAGAAAATCTGTGAGAAAATGTAATACATAATAAATGTGCTGCCACAATGATTTACTAGTACAATGACTGCCGCTGTTTCTCCAACATTGTGGATGCTGAAAATTAGGTCAATGGTGTTGCTGCAAATTCAGTATTCCGTTTGACGTTTAGTGGCTGCCGGTGATCGAAGATTATGTTCTTAATGACTCCTACTGCTGCTACAATTTACTGATATATTTCCTTCAGGTTAAAAAGAATCCATTTTCGTATATCATAACCAGTTGTGTAATCAAAAATGAATTATGCCATCATCAGATCTGATTACCCCCAAACTACGCAAGGTCATGGAGTATACAACATATATACACCACACAGAAGCTACACATTATTTTTGCATGACAGTTGGTTAGACCAAGACATATCCCATTCGCATGCTTCTAATTAGATCTACGAAACACGATAGGTACAGGTGCGATATCAATAGCGGTAACGTTAATAATTATTTATCATAGCTACATTTGGCCGATATTTGTTCTTTGGTTCCTGATACAACGAACCAGCAAGGGAGTGGAGGGGACTGGATCTCTAGTTACTAGTTCCTGAAGAGAGACAGATATTGACCAAGGTGAAGGTCGGCCAGCAGCGGGTCGCAGTTCCCGGTGTTTCAACAGTGATTGATCAAAATGGACATATCTTCTCAACCTCCTGTCCCATCCTTACAGTGTGTTCTTTGATACATGTTATTCTAGTGTCGTGATGGTCACCTTGTCTTTAGATGTTAACAGCATAGGATGTTGGAATATTGCTTCTTCGATTGTTGTCAGTGTAATAATTGATTACCATTAAAGATTGTATGTCAGAACGCTCTGTACAGGTACCACTTTCTTTTAACCTTTCGCAAGTATTTTCCAGTGGCATGAAATGAGGCTTTTGCAAATTTGATTCTTCAAAGATTTGCATGACCATATACTTATCTAATATTTAAATCAAATTATAAGACAATTGTTCACTATGTTGAAGTACACAATGTGTGTATTAAAACGGGGTATGTTTTGTTTAAGATATTATAAATAATGTTATTAGTCAGTTGTTTCCAAGTTTTAATGAAATGATGTGATTGACCTGTAATCTCTTTCTTTCAACAGCCATGTCAACATGATACACCATGTTTGAAAATAGTTAAAATGCCTTGGAGTTTAACTAACTGCTCTCTAGATAGAGGATATACTGAATAAACTCTTTGATTTGTTCAAATACTTGTAAAAGCCTATTAGAGCAATACATGTACGTGTATGAATGTATGAATTCAATTATTTCATAAAGATGCCATTTTGAAACAACCTTGAAACAATGCTTTTGGTTTGGCTAACTGGACCAGAGTGTCCTGTCATAATGTGTTATCGGTGTGTTCTGTGTTCATTTGCAAAAGACGTTTTTATTCTTCTCTTTTGTAATAAGAAACACCCTCCATGGTACTTGTTCATAGAGTAAGCTTTGTAACTAGTACGTGCATTTCGCTCGTTATTGTCAACACAACGGATGAGGGATCTATATAAGTTGTCAATTATTGGGCATTTGCAGATCAAAACCATTGTATGGGTTGTATGTACTTAAGATCCTTTATCAACTCATCGTTGAACGCATGTAGAATTGATAAATGCTGTTTGTTAGTGATTAATTGTTCATAAACCGTCAGGCAAGAATTGAACGAATGAATGGAGACTGTAACCAAGAAATGTAGACTTGATAAATGGCTTATGGATGTCGTTTTAATACTTTGACGTAAAGGAAGGTGAAGGATAAAAATAATGATTTGGAGCCTAACAAACAGTCTACACCAGGCTAGGTCTTTTACTAACAGTTGGTGCATGACCTTGGTCGCTTGGTAGGCACAGGGTGTTTTGTTGGGCAGAGAGGGTCTCCCAGACTTTCAAAGGGTGAGGGATCCCTGCTCTTGTTAGTCGGCGTCATGT